TTATTGATTGAATGTTGATTGTGTTTTGCTTAAATCTGTTCTTTGTAAGAATGGAAGATTCAATGGAGGAGAATGGGGGAGGGGCTGTAGGAGAAATTCTAATACTTTTTAAAGATATAAATAAAAGTTACTAATGGGGGGAGGATAATAGGTTAATCAATAAACATTTATTAAGTGCCTATTGTGCTAAGGTAGCAGTATAACCTATTCCTTCCTCCAAAACTGGAGGTGCAGTCTCCCACAAATACAGACTTATGGGGAGGGGTACAAACAGAAAATACAATGTTAGTAAGGCCACCCATCAGATTAAAGGAAAATAATGAATGCTGGAGGGGATATCGAAAAACAGATACACTAATGCATTGTTGATGGAGCTGTGAACTGATCCAACCATTCTAGAGAATAATTTGGAACTCCACTCAAAGAGCTGTAAAACTGTGCAAACCCTTTGACCCAGTGATACTGCCACTAGGTTTGAAACACAAAGAGATCAAAGGAAAAAGAAAAGGACCCATATGTATAAAAATATCTACAGCAGCTCCTTTTGTGGTGGCAAAGAATTGGAAATGGAGGGGATGCCAATCAATTAAGGAATGGCTGAACGATGTATGACATATGATTGCTATTGAATACTATTGTGCTGTAAGAAATGATCAAGGGGATAGTTTCAGAAAAACCTGGGAAGACTTAGATGACTTTAGGTGAATGAAGCAAACAGAACTGGGAGAACATTGTACACTGTAATGGCAATATTGTAATAACAATCAGCTGTGAAAGACTTAGCCAGTCTGATCAATACAATGATCCACAATAAATCCAAAGGACTCATGATGAAAAATGCTATCCACCTCCAGAGTGGAAACTGATGAACACTGAGTCCAGATTGAAATATATTTTCGTTCACTTTTTAAACATTTTTCTTGCTCTTTTTTCACAACATGGCTATTGTTGAAACCTGTTTTGCATGACTTCATTATATATGTGTGTGTATGTATGTATGTATAGAAGAATATCATATTTCTTGCTTTCCAATGAGTGGTAGAGGGGCAGGGTGAAGACAGAAAATTGGGAACTGGAAATAAACATTTAAAAAATAAAAATAAATAAATAAATGGCAGTCAGTGATGAAAAGCTTGAAGGAATGCATGTGGCTAAGGCAATTCATGACTCCAGAACTTCAGATCCTTAGTGTTCTCTCTCCAGAGAGTGAGAGATAAGTGGCTCCACTGCTCAGCAGGGTTAGCCCACCCACAACATGCAGCATTGAAGCTGGACTGGGTGCTCCCCTGGGCTTGCTCCTTATAGGACATAGGGCTTCCATTGGAAGGACCCAGCCACGGCACTTGGCCTCTCAGCTACTTGGTGGCAGCAGTATGAATGACAGCAGTAGTAGTGACCACCACAGCCAGTGGCAATGAAAGCTGCAGATGGATGAAGTCACCTGAGGACATTGTGAACTTCTGAGAGTGTGACTCCTCTTGGCAAAGAGAAGTGTTAACTTTAGAATCTATGGCACCAATCTTCCAAGCATGACTGAGCACTACAACTTTATCAGGACTCTCGGAAGAGAGAAAAGGACTCTCATGGGCAGGAAGTGCCCCTTTACCATTCACCTTCCCTACACATTCATCTCGCTGCTACTGTACTTCATACTTGAGCCCATCCCCCTCATGGACATTCTATTTGTGAGAGAGTTCATCCCCAGGCTTTGGGAAGAATTTTTAGTATTAGTTATTATTGGTGGGGTATCAGGAGCAACAGTACTAGACCACAGCCCCTCAGAGTTACCCCTAGAACCCTGAGAGATAGTAGGAGTAAGCTACCCTCGGGAGTTTCCATCTGCCAATGCAAGTGTCCATTTGGGAAGGGTGGCCTGTGATAGGTTGGGGGGGACTCACAGAGTAAGCATGGCTTCCCACTGTCTTCCTATTACCCTGTAAAGACTCCTCAGTGAGCCCCAAGTTGAAGCAAGAAGTTGCTAGGTCTAAGAAGTCTGAAAAGATCAGTTAAAATAGCCCTTACATATTCTTTGAAAGGGTCTTCCTCATTGGTCTTCTGGGCCCCAACCAGAGACCTGCACCTTTATCCCAAGTCATCTACCTAAATAAGGGGAGTTCTTTACTATTTACAGCTGCCTGGTGTCTGTACTATATAGCCTACTAGGGGTGGCGAACCTGCAGTCTCAAGGCCACATGTGGCCCTCTAGGTCTTCAAGTGTGGCCCTTTGACTGAATCCAAACTTCACAGGACAATCCCCTTAATAAAAAGATTTGTTCTGTAAAATTGGACTCAGTCAAAAGGCAGCACCAAGGACCTAGAAGGCCACATGTGGCCTTAAGGTTGCAGGTTCTCCACCCCTGGTAAGTCCTGGCCTGGGTGGCTAGGTGGCGCCATAGTGCAGAGTACCTGGACTTAGAATGAGTACTCTTCAAATCTGGCCTCAGACACTTACTGTGTGACCCTGGGCAAGTCACTTAACCTTGCTTGCCTCCGTTTCCTCATCTGTCAAATGAACTGGAGAAGGAACAGTATGTGTGCCAAGAAAATCCCAGATGAGGTCACAAATAGACATGACAAAAATGACTGAGCAACTCCTGGCCTATCACACCTTGTCTTCATACTTCTGAATAAACGATTAGTTTTACACGTTATCCAAGTTGACAGGAGATGGCGCTAAATGGTAGCAAATGCCTTGGATTGGCCGTTAGACCCATTTCCCAACGGAAGGAAGGACGGGAAATGTAGAGGGGAACAGATGAGAAAGAAATGGAGAAAAGCGTTCAAATGGAAAACTAGAAAGGAGAAGGAGACACTTCAGTTTTATGATCTTCCCCACTTGTCAGTTCCTCCAAATTAAACAAGCTTTAAAAACACAGAGACAAGTGAATGTGGAAGCCGTCCCAAAGATACTTGAAAAAGTTTGTCCTTCCCTCCACATTCTTACTCCTTGGGAGCAGTGCCACTCCTATGATGCACAAAAATTTTGAAGAAAACTCCAGAAATGATGAGGACAAGATGCCTGAAAAAAAGGATGCCTTCGTAAAAGATCTTTCAAATAACAATTTGCAAAAATCAAGTCTAAAATCCCTGCACTGAACGTTACTTTTAGGAAGCCTCAAGAAATTATTAGAAATGCCAGAAGATGGCGCCCTAAGTGTTCCTGAAATTCAGCACTACAACGAAAAGTTTCATTTCAGTCATAGCGTCTCCCCTGGGACTCTGACTCCTTGGACGACTTCTTGTCCACCTGTCTTCTTTTCTCCTTGGCAAGGAGTTGCCTTCTTTCTCCATTATATTGCTGTATTTTAACTATCCCCAAACTCAGGAAGCTTTTCTTTGATGAGCACAATAACACAGAATTTTACAGTTTACAAAGTGTGCTGGGGGGAGCTCTTGGTCTGTCTCTCAACAGAAAAGTGATGGACTCATGGCACAGATCGAGACTTTTTTTTTAAGCATGACCAGTGCAGGAACTGTTTTGTCTGGCTATGCATATTTCTTATAAGTATTTTCTTTTTCTTTTATGGAAGGGGGAGGTTGGAGGGGGAAAAATCTATTTTTGTTCATTAAAAAATAAGACTACATTTTTTAAAGGCAATTGGGGTTAAGTAATTTGCTCAGGGTCACACAGCAAGATTACATTTTGTTGTTGTTGTTGTTGTTATTTGTTTGTTTTTGGCTAGGCAATGGGGTTAAGTGACTTGCCCAGAGTCACACAGCTAGTAAGTGTTATGTGTCTGAGGCCAGATTTAAACTCAGGTCCTCCTGAATCCAGGGCCGGTGCTCTATCCACTGAGCCACCTAGCTGCCCCAAGATTGCATTTTTAAAAGCGTCTTCATGCAAGCAATCCCATTTGATCCTCTGTATATATTAGGTAACTGAGGTGCAGAGAGTTAAATTGACTTGTCCAAGATCACACAGCTAGCTTATAAGAAAGCATGGACAAGAATCCTAGGCTCCAGGGATCTTTTTCCACTGACTATACCATGCTTGCTTTCTCTCCTTAGTGGAACAAAATGAGAAACTTTTCTTGGAAGCTTATGTGTCAAAGAACAGGAGTTTTAATTTTTTTTTAATTCCAAAATAGTTTGGTTTTGCAGCTGATCCACATGGTCATGTATAGGTATAGCCAGCTTTTGACTATCCAGGGAATGATGATGCAGCACATCTATTATCCTGGTCAGTTTGCCTCCTCAGATTGTTGGAGCCATTCCATAGCTCATTGCATTGACAACACTGAGGGTGAGCTGGAGCGAAAGGAGGACTTTAAACTGAAATGGGTGAATTTTGCTTCTCTAGCAAAAGGTTTGGCGGGGGGAGAGGTTTTCCTCTTAATATTTCCTTCTCTAGACCTCTGTTCCTTGCGAGGTTTCAATGTGAAGAATTTAGAACTTGTTCTGATCTCCAGATTTCTAGTCTCGTGGTGGATTAGACATCAACCCACATTCCTAGCACATGAGTACTTTTCTCTCCCTTCTCCGAGCTCACAAGCTCCTTTGCCCACCGCAGCAGTCTAGAGGGGTCTGGTAATTGATGCTGTTCCTTCCCCTTTATGAAGACCTAGGACCCTCTTCTCTCTGAACTTGTACTGGTTTTTATCCTCTCCCCCACCCCCATACACACACACACACACACACACACACACACACACACACACACACACACACACACACACATACTTTCTGTCTATCTCTTTCTCTTGAGAATCTACTTAGTTGCTGAGGCTGTTTCTGTCTCTGTCTCTGTTTCTCTCTGAGTCTCTCCATATCCCCCCGTTCAGGCCTCCCTGCCATCAGTCAGTGTCTTCTCCTCTGACAAAAGCCGTCCTAGATCTAGGCTCCCTGGGGAGGAGGGGGGTGGCTGGCTCTGGCAGTGAGAGACGCTGTCTCTTCATGGTGCTACAGTCCCTCCCCCACTGAGCATACAAACGGGCTTTATCCTGCAAACAAACACGCCCCTCCATCACACCCCCAGCTTAAGCAAGCACGTGGCCCTTGGCCCCCAGAGTGGGGAGATGGCCGCAGCGACAGGACCCAAAGCCAACTTCAAACATGTTATATGTGCCTCAATTTCCCTTTCTTGGTCTCAACTTTAATTTTGCCACCTGAGCTTCCAACTCTCGATCCACCTTAATCTTCAGCTCCCTTTTTGCTTTCTCTCTGTTTCTAAGCCTCGGCATATATCCTACGCTGCCATTCTATCTGCATTTTTATTGCTTCTCAGTTTGGCCAAACTCCAAACTAACCTGTAGACATCTTCCCCCAAAAAGTGTTTTGTTTTAAATATCACGTCTCTTTATCTTCTCAGGCCAGAGGAATGGCAGAGGAGTAAGATGAGGACCCAAATGCATGTCTGGAACTAGTTAGATTGAAGAAGAAAGAGGATCTTAGGTGACACCAGTTTAAGGGTAAGCTATGTGAATAGGATAGAGAAAAGAAGAACTAGCAGCTGGAATCCTGAGCCAGAGCCAGGGCTCCCTGTAACTGACTGCATATACCAAACAGGGTCCATCCTGCATGCCTAATAGGCTATTTAAGGAACTGGCTGCTGACATCCAGGGCACCCCCCCCCTTTTCCTCCTTCTCCTCCCCTCCTCACACACACTCACACCCATCCAGAGCCACCTTAAAAGCGAGAGGCAATTGTGAAGTATCTGGCCAGTAAGTGGAGTTGGGACTGGATAATGAGATAAAGACAAGAGGGCAGGGAGAGAGACAGAAAAATTTGTACAGGGGGGCCAGAAACACACACATCCATACACACATACACACACACACACACACACACACACACACACACACATGTAGAAATAGAGTCCCCTGGAAAGTCCCCAGAGAGACACAGAGAGGCACTAAAGGAAAAAATAGTTGGAAAGATAGATCTAGATCTATACAGGGCACTAATAGAATTTCCTCTGTGTATTTCTTCTCTCTCTCTCTCTCTCTCTCTCTCTCTCTCTCTTCTCTCTCTCTCTCTCTCTCTCTCTCTCATACCACAGTCTACCTGTCCCCCCACAAACTCCTGTCTAATCTTCTGTACCCCCTTCCAGGAGACCATGCTGCTATTTCTTAACCTCTTGTTAGAGCTGGTCCGGACTCTGGCTGCAGATGGGGGTATGTACATTTGTGTTTATTTGTGTCCATGTTTGTGTCCGTATGCTTGCAGGTATGCTAAGGGGGGAGGAGGGGTGAAAGGGCTAAGATGACAGTATTCTAGAAAAGAGACAAAGGAAGGGAGGAAAATCCTGACCCCTACCCAGGTTTTCTGCCCCTATTCCTGATCTTCTGCAGCTTTTCCTCCTATTTCAATGTGATTTTAGAAGGGTAGAGAGTAAACGGTCCAGCGGGGCAGGAAAGGTTAGTAATAGATTCCATCACTACTGCAGCTTCAGCCTCCCGAGCTCTCCTTATTTAAGAAGTCTTTCAATTAATAGAAACAGCTGCTTTGAAGGGGAAGGGGGGGAGTGTTAAGAAATGAATGAATAGGGATTGAGTTCTTACTGTAGCCAGAAAAAAACCAGCACCTGCCCAATTTTGTCCCTGAATCCTTGTCCCAGAGGTCTCATGCCCAGAAGCATAGTGATGCCCTTTCTTGATTCAACTATAGATAGAATCCAACAATGTATTCCCTCTGATAAGTGACCCACTAGGTTATATGGAAATAAATTGGGAAGAGGTAGACAGGGTCTCCAGTACTATCTTTCTAAGGGCAGGAAGAGTTGAGCTGGAGGAGAAAAAAAAAAGCTGGCAGATTCTTACTGGAGGCATTCTGGAACAGAGGGTCTCAACTCCTCAGAGTCCTACAAGAAAGAAAAAAGGGAAGTGTGAGGGAGTCCTTCAGAGACTGTCTTCCTGTGGCTTTCTGAAGAACACTACTGACTTTGATTCCCTGATAATATTGACTAGTCTGGCTTAGTTGCCTACCCCACTCCACCCTTCATACCTCTGGATGACCTTCTCTCTCAAACACTTTAGATTCTCTCAAACGATTCCCTTTTTTCCTCTCCTCGTCACACTAATGTGGAATCTAGGGAAATAGGAGAGGAAATGGGAGCCTGAGCTACTTTAAATTTATATCAGTCTGGAAAATGAAGAATCTAGTATCAAAGAGATTCCACAGGAATAATCTCCCCTGTAACCCCCAACATAATCTAGCTCTAGGTGAAAACTCAGAAGCCAGGCAAGGAGGGCCCCCTGTGTCTCTCTCCACTGCAAAGACAGGCTGGGTATGATCCCTTCATGTGACTCAGCTGGCAGCTCCCATCTCCACATACAATGCCACTTTCATCCTGTTCTTACCCGCCCTGGCTCCCCCTGCCCGCCCACCCTCACCCTAGACCCTGCACCAATTCCTTCTTTTCCTTTACCATCTGGAGATCTGGGAAGTGGGAGAATAGGGATTGTGGCTTTGGGATTAAGGAGTTTCCTACCGAGCTGCAGCCCAGGGACCAAAAGCAGTGCTGAGTTGAAATTCACAGATGTTGATTTGCATCTCATTAGCATTTTATTCATTTTGTGTGCCATAGCCAAGGAATCCCTTCAACCTCTGCCTTTCTACCCTAGTATCTCTGGGTGCTTTCCTGCCTCACAACCAGAAATTTCACCCCCCCCCCATGCTGGGGAAAAGAGGGTTGGACTTACTGCACATTTGTATCCAGATTAATTTTAGCCTTCAGCTTTTCCCTCTGTTTCCACCCCCATCCCAACCAACACATTCAATCCCGCAGGGGTTTTAAATAGGTCCCTCTCCCTTACCCCGACCTTTCCTTGCTAGGTTTCTGGTTTCATGACTTCCCTGGGAAAGGTTGAAGTAGAAGGGGATGAAAGAAATAGAGGACAAGGGAGGTGTGTGGAAAAAGAAAGAGAAGTGAGACAAGAAGAGGCTTGGGGTACTGATCAGGGGCATTGTCATAGCTCCAGTTCCTCTTCTTGCAGGTTCACACTGGACATATGAAGGTAAGATCACGATTCAGTTTTCCTCCTATTTCCTAACTTTGTTTCTGGTCGGGGGAGTGGGTATACCCTCCAGCCTTCAGGAGAGCCCAAATCCTCCCCCTAGCAGCAACTTTCCGTCTCTCCTCTCCTTTCCCCATCACCTTTCCTCACCTTCCAGTCTCATCTCTCTCATGATCTCCTGGTCAATTTGCCTCAAGAAAAGAGAGTTCTGGGGTCACTGGTGACTCAACTTATGAAGACGCTAATTCTTCCCCCACTAACTCAAAAACCAGAATCTTAGAGATAACCAATCAAACCTTCACCCTCTGGCTCAGCAAAAGGCTGGAAACTTGTTCTTTCAAAGAGGGATGAAATAGAGGGTACTGTGGCATCCAGTAGAGTGGGGCGGGGAGAAGTTGGCAGAAACACCCGAACTTCTAACTCCCCATTCTACCACAACCCTCAACCCAAAGCAACCCCATTCCTTAACCTGAATTGAGATAGTATGTGGAGCAATGGAGAGAAGAGGTGCCAAGGCTTGGGAGCCAGTCATCTAGTGGACCCTGCGGTGGGCGGAACCTAACTCTGGCTACTCTTTGAACTTTTCTGGTCGTTGACTCTGTCATTGACAGAAATCCAGAGCAAATGTCAAGGGCTCTGGTGAGAGGAAGAGAAGCAGGGCTAGGAAAAGGGGCCACCTGAATCTCCATTTAGTGGGGAGACATGAAAGGCTTGGTTCACCCCATCTTTCTGAGGCTTACAGTCTATTCCTCATCCTGAGCCCCATCACTCCTATCCCAATGCACCCACAGGCTTTCTTTTCCTTTTTCTTTCTGATCCCCATTACAGTTATCCTAGTCTTAGGTTATTGTTAGATCAAGAAGAGCTGCCACCATTTCAGTTTCCCAGAATTGGACCCACCACAGACTTGAAAGGAAGGAACTGGGGCATAAAGGGTAGGGGACAGTTATTTTGTCTCTCAATTCCTGCATCATACAGATTCAGTATAGGAGTGGGGAATTAAGCAGAAGGCACATTCTTCAACACATTTCCCTGGATGGGGTGTGGGGTCTGGAAACTGGAAATGGCAAGTGGGCAGAGAAAGATAGGGTAAATGTCCTTGGTAATTCTTTATTAGGCCCACATGGTCAGGACCATTGGCCAGCCACTTACCCCGAATGTGGGAGCAATGCCCAGTCTCCTATCGACATACAAACTGAAAGAGTGCCATTTGATTCAGAGCTGCCTGCCCTAAAGCCCCATGGCTATGAACAGCCCGGCACAGAGCCCCTATCTCTGCACAACAATGGACATACAGGTAAAAGACAGGACAGGGTGTCTAGGCTTTAGATCTAGTCATGGAGATTTCATAAAAAGCAGGAATCACTAAAGTGTCCAATATTCCTGGGTTCTCTGGAAGTTTCACCCTTACATTTGGGAAAATGAGGGTGGGGATCAGGACCCTGCACCTTTCAGTCAGGATGGCATCAGTCAGTCTCCAAGCAAACCCCACAAATCAGTTCGTAGTGTCAACTGCTGTCCAGATCTGGGAAGGGGGGAAATGTGCTGGAATGTGAATTAGTTAACCAGAACTAGGTGCCATAATGGGGAGGGAAAAACAGATTGGCCAAGACTTCCAGGAAATTCTGGGAATACCCAGGGATGAGAAGAATCTAGCCCAACACCAGATGTTCCCCTTATTCTCACAGTGCAACTGTCCCTGCCCCCCACTCTATATCTGGGGGGGCTCCCCCGAAATTATGTAGCAGCCCAGCTGCACCTGCACTGGGGCCGAAAAGGGCAGCCCGGGGGGTCAGAGCACCAGGTCAACAGTGAAGCTACAGCTGCAGAGGTACTGGGAGACAAGACGCATGGACTTGGGTTGCTGAAGGGACAGGGCTGGGGAGCACTGGAGGGAAACCAAAGACTGGGGATGCTGGGAAATAGGGTTGGGGAAACATTGGAGGGGGGAAGCCCGGGAACTAGGGATGCTGGGAGCTCAGGAGACAGGAACACTGCACTAGAGACATGGGGAACATCGATCGCCCTCTCCCCACAGCTCCACATCGTCCACTATGACGCTGATTCCTCTAACGACCTGAATGAAGCTGCTCAAAAGCCTCAGGGACTAGCTGTTCTGGGCATCCTCATTGAGGTCAGTGGTCCCCTAAATCCCCTTCCTGCTGCCTCCCTCGCTTTTCTCCCCTCAGTCTTAATCTTTCACTTATTTCATTTCCTATATCAGCTTGTTTCCTTCCATAGTGGGAGGTGGGCATACAGTGATCACCATTCTGTTCAAGGAAGAGACAAAAAATGAAAAGCCAACCCAGATTATCCTAGAATTATCCCTGGAATGTCCATGACCCCAGACTCCACATCCTTAAACTATCATCTCCCTATCCTAGGTAGGTGAGAACCAGAGCCCAGCTTATGAACACATCTTGAGTCACCTGGAAACAATCAGGTATAAAGGTAAGCCCCAAAGAAGTTGTAGTAGGATGGAACAAGGTTAGCTCTCAGGCAGACTTAGAATTGTAGAATTAGAGAATTTTAGATATGGAAAGGATCTTAGGAATTAGTAAAGCAACTCCTTTCTGATGCATAACATCCCCACAGGTAGGTACCTAGCTTCAAACACCTCTGGGGACAGGGAACTCATTATCAACATGAGAAAGTCATTCTAGTTTTACACAACTTTAATGTAAGTTCTTTCCTGGGTTGAGCCAAAATGTATCTTCACCTCCTCCCCCCATTTGATTCTCGTTCCTAATGGTAACAGCAGCTTGGGATGAGGGAAGACTAAGTAGGACTGAGTTGTCTCATTACTTGGAAAGCACAGAAATTCATGTTTGGTTAAGGCAGAAGAACAGTAAGAGAGATGAATTTTGGCTGGTGCTCCCCTTCTCTTCCCTTGGGGCAGCTATATAGTGAAGTGGAGTACTGGGCTTGGATGCTGGGAGACTCATCTTCCTAAATTCAAATCTGGCCTCAGATACTTACTACTTGTGTAACCCTGGGCAAGTCACTTAACCTTGTTTGCCTCAGTTCCTCATCTGTCAAATGAGCTGGAGAAAGCAATGGCAAACCACTCCAGTATCTGTGCCAAGAAAACCTCAAATGGCATCGCAAAGAGCCAACTGAAATGACTGAATAGCTCCTCTTTTACCCTCTGCCTTCCTTAGGTCAATCTACCTTGGTGCCACCCTTTGATGTGGGGGGGCTGCTTCCTCCAGAGTTGGGGGAGTACTACAGGTACAATGGTTCACTCACTACCCCTCCCTGCTACCAGAGTGTTATCTGGACTGTCTTCCACAGAAAGGCTCAGATTTCTATGGAGCAGGTGAGATGAAGATGGAAGGGGTGAAAGATTTGGAGGTGACCCTGTTCCTATCCCCCAATACCTGTCTCTTCCCACTAGTGACCCCTCAACTGTTTTCCCTTTCCCAGCCCTTTATTGTATACTCTGCCACCCTCAGCCCCTACTACTCCTTTTCCCTCAGTTGGAGAAGCTACAGGAGACTTTGTTCGCCACAGAGGAGAGCAGTCCCTCCCAGTTACTGGTCCAGAATTACAGAGCCCCTCAGCCCCTCAACCATCGACTGGTTGTTGCCTCCTTCATCCCAGGTAAGGATGCAAAGGGTAAGGAAAAGGGAAGGAGCCTGACAGGTAGGAACAGGGAAACCACTGGAGAATAAAGGTAGTTGGTGGGAAACAAGGTATACAAGCAATGGGGTATGGAAATCTATCCTGCCGTACAGGAAAACAGAAGGGAAAGGGGATAAGAGAAGGGGAGGGGGAGAGATGGAAAGGCGGACAGATTAGGGGAAGGGGTATTCAAAATGCATGTCATCTTGGGGTGGGGGAGGGAAAAGATGGGGAGAAAATTTGGAACTCAAAATCTTGTGCAAGTGAATGTTGAAAACTAAAAATAAATTAATGAAAGGTAGTTGGGGAGCTAAAGGGCTCCAAGATTGCCACTAGTTGAGACTCTAGGGTGCTGGAATTGCTCTCCTGAAAGATGAAATTGGACTGGTGAAAACAGGATCTGATCTGTCTACTCTTCCTTTGCAGAAGGAGCCTTTTATTCCACAGGTAAGGCAATCCTTACCCAGCTTCAAATGGATAGGCTCTGTGTGTGTGTGTATATATGTGCATGTACGTGTGTGTGTGTGTGTGTGCGCGCGTGTGAAGGGCCTGACCCAATTTCACATGGATAGCCCCTATGGGTATGTGTGCGTGTGCGTGCGTGTGTGTGTGTGTGTGTGTAAGGCCCAACTCAGTTCATGGTCTAACAGTTCTTTGGCTCTCTCAGGTGAAATGGTGGGTCTAGGCCTAGGAATCTTGTTCGGCTGTCTCTTCCTCTTGCTTGCGGGTTACTTCATTGTCAGGAAAATTCGGTGAGACTCTACCTTCCAAGCTCCTTAGCAGACCCTTATAACAATCCTTTTCTCTCGTGAAGTCCCAGCTGTAAGCTGTTGCCTGAAGATAGGAATAAATCCTTCGGCTCACCCCCTTTTCTCATAATTCATCTGCTTCTTCCCCAGGAGGAATCGGCTGGGGGAACAGAAGAGTGTTGTCTTCACTTCATCCCGACACGCTACCACGGATGAGTAGAGACCCTCGCAGACACCCCTTAACCATCACTTTTCAGCAAACCTGGAGGATTCAGTGCTGGGACTTGCCAGATAATAGCTGTAGCACTAAGAGTTGAATGTCCCTCCTTCCTCCTGACAGCTCCTTGGGGAGCAAGCTTGGACTCTAAGGAAAACAGCTTGGAAAGCTCTTACCACCAATGGAAAGATGAGAAAAGCTAGAGGATTTGTTTTTGTGGATAGGACAATGTTTTTCCCTGAGAAGGGAGAATTAGTTATACTCAAGAACCCCTCTTACCTTTCAATATCTTCCCTGGACAGTACAGTCCCTTGGAAAGAGGGTTGCTGTAGAATGGGTTCAAGAATCCATATTCTGAATGTTTCGGAAATAAAACATTTTTGACCACACCATAACTCTTGTCTTTGTGGCTACTGGGTTGGGTAGGGAGGAAAGAAGCCTGCCTGGCCTACAGTAAGTGCTTAATGTTTGCTGACTGACTGAAAGACAGGAATTGCACACACACAGATCTCCCCACACCATCTTCTATTTTGAGCAACCATTAAGTGACAGAGAACCCCTATGAAACCTGGGTTATACCAGATATTTGAGAATGTTGGGAGGATGGCAGGGAAGGGTAAAGGGAAAGAGGGGAAATGTTTAGAGCAAAAGTTTTTCACTTAGGGTCTGTGAACTTTGTTTAAAAAAATATTTTGATAACTACATTTTCATGTAATTAGTTTCCTTGTAATCCTATGTATTTTATTTTATGCACTTAAAAACATTCTTCTAAGAAGGGGTCCATAGGCTTCATCAGACTGCCAAAGGGTTCCATGGCACAAAAAATGTCCAGAACCCCTGGGCTGAAGGGACCCCCAGAGGTCAAAATCCTGTGTAATATCTTACCTACTCCCAAAAGCCAAATCCCCATACATAGTTATAAAATCCTTTTTATTAGTCAAAATCACACTTACTTTGATTAAAAGGATGGGATATGCCATCCCCAGCAGAAAATAATACATTTTATAGAAAAGTCATTCCCTCTTTTCTCCCTCCCCATTCTCCCTCCCTCCCCATTAAAAACTAGAAAAAAATTCCTACTGTTCCTCCACAAATCCTTATAGGCCATAACCCTCCACGGTACTGTGGCCCTGTAGTACTCCGGGCCACCTCAGCTCTCTCACTGTAGGATAAAAATTATTAAGTTCCACTCATCCCAGTTGCTGGGAACAGAGAGAGAGAGAGAGATGAGGAGCAGAGATTACTATCTCCCTAACACACTCCTCATTCTATTCCCTAGGATCTCTGGCCAATGGGGGAAAAGGGAAAAGATGGTGGACACAGGGAGTAGAAGAATCGGGAAAATAGGCTAAGACATTTTGGAGGAAGCAGCTCCAAGCTCCTCTACCCCCAAAAGGCAGTTTGGAGTCTTTGTCAAACCAAAAATGATTTCCCTCAGACCTGAGAAAAAGAGATATCCAATTGGGGTGGGGGAGAGGGAAGAGGGCAGAAGGGAGAGATAACAGGGAACTTCTCAGATCCCTGCAAACCCCAGTAACCTCTTTACCCTCAGGTACCCCAATTTTATCTCCTGGGCAATGACTAAGCTAGGCCACCTCCCTTAGCAGCTGTCCATAGTTGGAGATGGAGAGAAAGACAGGAGACAAAGAGGGTGCCCCTGGCCCTCAGGGTTTCCCCCAGGTCCCCTCAGTCCTCGGGTGGGATGCGCAGGGCAGAATACACCATCACCCGACTGTCCTCCCGCCGTCGGCCTGCAGAGGGGAAGGGACGTGAGTCTCGGACAGGATGGGGAAGTGAAGGACCCAGGGCAACAGGGGGTCCTCAAAGGGTGGGGAGTTTCAAACCCTCTAACCATTGACCGGCTGTCCCCTGGCTGCTCCCGCTGTGGCCTAGAGAGCAAAGGTCAAGAGTGGACAAAGTGAAGCCCCTGAGGATGGGGAAGGGGAAGTGGATGGAAGGGAATTATACAGAGAAGAGCAGCAGGGGCACTAAGGTGGGAGTGGGGCAGGGCTCAGTCTTGGATAGTGGGCAGGCAGGTGGTGGTCAGGCAGGCGATCAATCCAAGTGGTCAGTCCTTACACGAGAGGCTGCGCTGGATACTTCGAAGGGAGCCTCCAGCTGTGATGAATGCCCAGATCCCCATGGATAGAGTAACTGCATAGATGGGCAACAGGCTGGCTTCATACCAGGGATTCAGAAATGTCTAGGGAGAGGCAATAGTGATTGAAGAGAAGAAAACGTCCCCTCCATTCCAACCCCAGCTACCCTCTGAGCATGTAACAAAACCTTCTCCAGACCTTTCACTTTGCCCCAACAAAACTCAAATATTGTTACTATGCCTCTTCCCACCTACAATGTTGCTTCTCCTCTTAGCTAGGCCCTCAAGCCCCTGCCTCTTTTCTCCCAGAGACGCCCATTCCTGACTCACCAGTCCTGATGTCAGCAGGTGACTGCCAACAACCAAGCCCAAGGCCCAATATCGTCTCCTCTCACAGGCATCAAAAAACACAATCCCCCAAAAGGTATGAAGCAAAATGATGGCTGCTGTGAGAAACGCTGGGGAAAGAGAAGGGGATCGCCTGAAGCACCTCTCCAGCCCTCAACCCTGCTGAGCTCCTCCCAGCACCCCTGGCGGAAGCAATCTAGAGAATTTTCCAGGAAGAACCTGATAGGGCATTTTCCCCTCCAGGTTGAACTAGATCTGCCCGACACAGCCAAGTGCTGAGAGATGCTATGGTCTAGGATGGAGATTTAGGGAATGGGGTCTTACCTGAGGTTAAGAAGTAATAGGGTGAATCTCCATTAATACCAACCACACCTGGACCAAGCGCATCTGCCAAGATGTTGATAACAGAAAAGACGCCACTGATGATGCCGAAAGATAGACCAGAAACTGGGGAGATGGGCAATCAGCGAGGTTAAGAGGGGCAAGGACCATTCACTGTGAGTTCCTACTTACTCCTCCCACCCAGCCATTCATCCTCTCAGTCCCACTGCCCCAGACTTCGTGTGGGAGGGTCTGGTAGGGAAAGGGGAGAGATGAGAAGCCACTGAGACCAAGTTACTCTGCTAGTCACCCCTCCCTGGCTCACCATAGGCCATCTGTCGGATGGAGATGGGAGATCTTCCGTCCTCACTCAGCGATGCTAACCCCTCATCTGCCTTCTGGTGGGGATATGAGGGAGGGTGGGGGGGCTCCTTTCCCCCAGGTCCCTCCCATAGCCCTCTCCCTTCAATACCCACCCCAACAGCCTGTCCCTGTCCCTCCCAATGACTTTCCAGCCCCTCCTGTGCTCCCTCCAATGCCTCGACCCCCTCACACCCAACCCCAGTGTTCTACTCTCTTACTTAAGTAGCTTGTAGTAGGCAAATCTGAAAACCTCCTGAAGCAGGACAGAAACGGCAGCACCAAAGATGAGGAGGCCATATTGGAGTCGGGTGTCTGACTGATCAGTCACATGGACCAAGATGAACCAGACCACAGAGGCCAAAAGTAGAGAGACCAGCCAAAAAAATGCCCTGAGGGAAGGCCGGGGAGGGGGGGAAATCAGAAGAAAGGGGGAGAAGGTACCGGGCGGTCAGAAGGCTTAACAAAGAGAGATCATTTAAAGGAACAACAAGAAAAGTGGAAGTTAGATTTTAAGGAGGATTTTCGTAGGGCAGGAGTCACCTAGGGATTAAGGGAATGAACTGGAGGAAATAAGGTTGGCTTTTCTCTCCAGTTAAAGCCCTCATCTGTAAGAGTATTAAGATTAGGCGAGTGACAAAGGTCTGGGCAGGACCAAAGAGGAGGTAGAAAAGTATGTGTGGGTGTGCCCACGTTAGGGGGAGGGAAGGAGAAACAGAAAGACGGGAAGGGCAGGATTCCTGGACCCTCCCTTGAGGCGTGTCTCCTCCGGGTCAGCGCCCCCATTCCCAAAGAGTCACCTCGGCCGGGGGGGGGGGTGTCTGCCCACGGAAGGCTCGGGGGGCCTTCAGCTTCCGAAGGCCAACGTCAAGGCACTGGGAGGTGGAATCTCTCCCACACGGGAAGGCAGAAGTGGACGAGAGGGAAAGGATAAAGGACCCACAGCCTGCGGACTAGTGGGCCACGCACCCTCTGCCTCGGCACCCATCTATCTTCCTCGCCGTCGGATCGTCCAGGGCTCCCTTTCTTCCACAGCCTCCGGCCGCCTCCCCTCTCCCCCACCCCTCTTCCCATCCCCACGCCCACTCACCCGGCCACCAAGATGATGACCCGAAGCGGGTCCCCGGCCACCGTGACCAGAAAGAGCGAGAAGGCCGGGCCGAAGGCCACGAAAGTACATCCGAAAAAGACCGCAGCACCCATGGCTGGGCCTCGGGGGTGGGCTGGGGAAAGTGGGAAGGGGAGCAAGGGGAGGACAGGGACCTACAAGGGAAGGGGGTGGGGGGGCAGCTGACCAGTGGGGGGGGGTCGATTTCTGCCCCAGTAGGGGCACGGCGGCAATGTCACCCCCAGGCCCCGAAGAGGGGGGAAGGGGGGGGCGGGGGGGGACACTGACGCCCCAGCAGCAGGTCCGCCCGACTTCCCCTACGGAGGCCGAGTTGGGGACATTCCCAGGCCCCAGCCCAGCCCCATCGCCCTCCCTTCTTGTCCCCTCCCCCAAGGCCAATGGTGAGATTGTGGGAGGCGTGGCTACAGTTGGGCTTTTTTTAGGGAGGGATGTTGCATCCTGGGAGTTGTAGTTCTTAGTTCCTCCAGTCTCTACCCCTCCCTAGGGTGCGGTTTAGTAATTTACGCCAGGTATGGACGAAAGGAACTGAGTTGAACTTGAATTGGGCTTGGAGCCAGGACAACTAGGTTCTGCCTTCTTCTTCTCTTCTATTCCCAAGCTCTCTTAGGGTTGCAGTTGCTCTCAGTAGCAAAGGGTGGTGGGACTTGCACTGCCTTCTGGTAGGCTGTAGGAAGGTTGGGGGTGGGAGAGAGAACGCCTGAAAAAATACCAAGGGCTGGCGTGGGGGGGGGGCAGTAGGGAAGATGGGGACGCGCATTGTTTTTAGTTGAATGGAAGGAAATGGATCGGGGCTACAGCAGAAAAGATGAAACTTAAAAGCTCCAGTGGGAATTTACTGTCTTACATTAGACCTGGAACCTAGGAAAGCATCGGAAAGACCTCTGTCTGTGAATGGGTACAAGAAATAGTGAAAGAGGAAAGGATGCTCCTTGAAGGGACTGACTTCAAAAGAAGTGGTTCTTATGAAGCACAAGAAAGTTTTCAGTACTGTACTGTGCTGTCTTTTGGTTGACAGCTAACAAAGAAACTCAGCCCCCTTCCTTCCCCCACCCCCACCTTTTGTGTTACACTTCCTTTATTTAGTTTCTGAAGATGTATTTTTGTAATATCTTGTTCTTCAGACTGATTGATGGAAGAACAGAGAATTAGAAATCTAGTTCAGATAGCCTGCACAACCACATTGGGATGGAGCACAGTTCTTGGCAAATAGATGTTTGTTGACTGATTGGAGACACTTAAGATCTTCTAGGGGACTTTTCAGATGTTTAAAGGAACCTTGGGAGGAAGGGAGAACAAAGGGTGTCATTTTTCCTGGAATTCATGTGAAGGACTATTGCCAGTGAATACGGAGTGTAAATGAGGATATAGAATGAGGAGATTAGGTCCAGTCAGGACAGGAACATAAAGCTTCAGGGGGTTGGACCAAATAACTTTGGGAGTGAGAGGTCCAGTGTCTGCAGAAGGAGAGGCAGGCTGATCTCCCTTTCCTCCTTCTTCCAGTCTGTGAACAGGAACTTGCAGCAGAGTTAAGGTGAAGTAATAGTTAACCGAAGAGCCAGGAAGGAAGTTACAACTGTGCCCAGGAACTTTTATGGGAAATGCTTTGGGATCTAAACAGTGGAACCATCATCACATGATGGGTAAATAAGATAGAAGAGAGACTCAGTCTTCAACCTAGGGGATCTCTTCCTCTCCCAGCCTCCCTCATCCTACTCTGCTCCTCATTTGTTTGTGAGAAGGGAAGAACTTCACTTTTTCTGAGAGGAATTGAGGTTAGCCTTCAATGGCAGGGACTCCAAATTGATGGTCAAATAAAGGAAGGGAAATATCCCCATTCTTTTATCAGTGAGGCAAGAGGATAGGAAAAATCCATATTGTGATGGACAAAAGCTTAATAATTAATATGTTAGAGTAAACAAAAGTAAATCTGTAGAACAAGAAATGTATATACATTGACTCCAACTGTATGTAGTGCCACTCTTCTTCTGGTTCCTGAACAAAACTAAAAGTCATGCCAGCTAGCAAAAATTTAGATGGACTTTGTTATGAATAAAAAAAAACCCAAGAGTTTCTGGGTAATTAATAATAAATTTATTAATTAGGCTTAGCCAGCAAGCAATAAATTGAAGATCAGTGGGTTGTCTCAGTAATGAGACAACCAATGGAGACACTGAATGCCTTAAATCCCTTTTGTATAAGGGAATGCCCCTGACAAGAGAAAATCAACCCTGACTGGTGGACATTTAATGAAGAGATAGGCTAGAAGTCTTCCACTCCTCCCACTGAGAATGAGGTTTGATCATGAGACTCAGCCGTCTCCAGCAATCTGGACAGGAAATCCATCTTCATCCAGACCACTCTGGTTGGTTTTCTCCTTCATGAGCTGGGTCACCCTAAACTCTAATGGAGGGGTACAAGGACAGGGTTCCTGTCCCTGGGGTGAGAACTCACCTAGACTGGATTCTGTTTATATTCCAAATAGAAGTTAGGTCTCCTAGTTGGATGGGATCCTGCCCAAGACTGAAGACCTTGTTCCTTGAGGGCTAAGAGCAATTCCATCAATCAGGTCATGTCCTTCAGAGACTGAATTTTTACAGGGGCTAGGACCTTAAATGAGGAAATAAAAAAGCCTGCTTCCCAATTTAATAATTGGTTATTAATATAATAGTAAACTAATTTCTCTCAACTTGCAAGAACTCTCATTTTGTTTGCTTGTTTGAGGGTTGTCTGTAATACTCTTTTTTGTTTTGATTTTGTTTTTGCCAATGATTATTAAATTTATAATAAATTAAATGTGTTAATGAACAAATAATGGCTTGTTGATCATTTGATGAATTATTCTTCATAAATGGAAGGACAGTCTGAAGTAGAGGATAAAGTGCTGGCTTGGAGCCAAAAATTTGGATTTGTGTCCTGACTAAACTGTATGATAATGGATAAATCACTTAAGAACTGAAAGTCTGTTTCTTCATTTTTATTTTAATTTATTTTTCACTGGAAAACTTTTTATCGTAGGTGGAGTGGGGTAGCTGGACACAGTTTAGATGATTCCAATTTTGTTGGCAACATCTAAAGCATCACAGTCTGGAGCAAATTGGACATAGGCCTTCTCTCCATCAGACCAGATCAGTGTGTTGACCTTGGCCATGTTGATGTCATACAGCTTCTTTACCACCTGCTTGATCTGATGCTCGTTAGTCTTGATGTCCACAATGAAGATGAGGGTGTTGTCCTCAATCTTCTTCATAGCAGACTCAGTAGTCAAGGGAAACTTAATGATGGCATGGTGATCAAGTTTGTTTCTCTGAGGGGCACTTTTCCAAGGGTATTTGGGCTGCCGTGGAAGTCTTAGTGTCTTGGGTTGCCAGAAGGTGAGGGATCAGATCTTTTTCTTTTTGTGGCTATCAACACCCTTCAACACTGCCTTGTTGGCCTTCAAGGCCTTGGACTTGGCTTCTGTCTTGGGGGGCACAACCACTTCCTTCTTCACCTTCAGCGCCATCCTGGGGGAAAGGCTATTTCTTCATTTTTAAAATGAGGATAATAATGTTATTATCTACTTACCTTGAAAGGTTGTCATTTTAAGAAAAGTACATTGCAAACCTTAAAGCACCATATAAATGTGAGTAGTTATTAATTATAGTAGCTGTCATATAACTGACATAGTTTATTATGATAATAAGATGAATTAATTCAAAGTAAGGTCTTATCCAGTTCCACTGAAGTAAAATGTAAAATACAGAGGTTGTGTGTAAATGAATTGCTAATGTTGCATGGGGAAAAAAATCAGCAAATTTCCATAAAACCTATAAAGGTTTCAAAGTTCTGGAAAGGATATTACAGACTCTATCCAAAATATCACATTAAAAGAACTTCAAGGCTAAAGATAACACTCCCAAAGAAAAAAACATAACCCCCCCCTCAAATTTTGGCATTCCATCAAAGAAAGTGACACAAACTTCAAGGTGGGGGGCATTGAGCAATATCCTAGGACTATTTCTATAAATGGAATCAGCAAAAACAAACCAAAACATTATTTTGGTTGCAGAGGATTCCTTGGAATACCAATAGGAATTGCTGAATTCTGGGAAGACTTCTGGTTTCTCAGTGATATCACTAACGTCTGCCTACCCCCAAATCTCTGATAGCTGTGAACATTATTATGTGCAAAAATGTGGGAATTTGTATTTTTTTAATAATATTTTATTTTTTCCCCAACTATATGTAAAAACAATTGAATTTGTGTTTTTTTAAATGAGTGTCTCCAGGTATATTTGTAATGTAAACATTTTGGCTACTATTGATGAAGCTTCTTAAACAGACTCTTAACAGTTAAAACATTTTTTAAAAAGTAGAATTCTGTTTCCATAAGTGATTTATTCTAATTTATTCTAATCAATGCTGATTTGGGGGTTTGGATAGTTGGGGGTGGTGAAGAGAGAACTCTGGGTTAGTCCACTGTAAGACTAATCTATACCCCCCCCACACACACACACTCAAATCCAGGAGTCTTGCACAGTCGTATTTGAGGATTCAGTTAGTTTGTGATAGACCAAGGAGCTAGGACCATAGCAAGGAAAAGTAGCTTCAGTTTTGATTACTTCCTGCTTAGGAGAATGGGGGGGGGCGTTGAGAAGGGGGAAGAGAAGTACAGATGTAATTTCCTTTTCTTTTTTTTTTTAAACTTCACTGCTCTGAGTCAGAAGCCAGAATGGATGTTCTACTTGTAGTCATAACTGCTGTGCCGCTCATCTTGGGTAAGACCATTCTCTCTTCTAGCCCTCGCCAGAATTCTGTGTCTAGTAGTTAGGGAACAAGGTGGGGAAGAAGATGAAAAGTGAGGAGAGGATAAAGGGTGGAGAAAAGAATAAAACAAGAGGAGCAATTCCAGTCTCATCACTAACTGGCAGAATCTAGATGGTGAACATGGGAATAGAGAAAGTAGGAGATCCAACCTAGAAAAGAATGGGCTGAGAAGGGTCGAGATTACAGACTTGGGGAGATTTCAGGGGGAAAAAAAAAAAAGGAAATCACTGTTCTCTATCTCCCAGGAAGGCAGAGCAAGAAAAGGCAGCTAAAACTGCATAAGAGGAAACTCCATTTTATGATGGGGGAAAACTAGGAGCAGGGTGACGTTAGATGGGTTGAAGTGACTCTGTTGCTGGAGAGTAAAAGAAAGACTCCTGTCTATGTGGGGTTGGGACTCCTAGAGAAGAATAGCAGCCATCAGGGACACTGTTAAGAGAATAGCTGTCTCCTTCCCTTCTTTGTTTCCCAGTCAGCCAGGTGTGTCTCAATGTTTTCCTTTCCTCTTCCTCCAGATTCCTGTTGTTATTC